AAAAAAACGACCTGTCCTTTCTTCCCTGAAGCAGTTAACCTCCAGTGGTGGGGTAAGAAGCCAGCAAGGTCTGGTAAGGGGAGACTCGAGTAGGTACTTTCCAGGGGAAGTGTAGACTTCTGAACACCTGTCAGTTGCACAAACACAAGGAGAAGCTGGGGTCTTGTGGCCTGGGCTGAACCCACAGGGAGATGGGGGCAGGAGGTATCTATCCCAGTGTGTAGAGAGGGCCTGAGTCCAGGAGGGAAAAGATGAAGAGGGGAGCTGGTTGAGGGACACGTGAATCACTAAGGAAGACACTGTCTAGGGTCCTAGGGAAGAGGCAATCCCTCAGAAAGGAAACTGGCCTTTTCAGACTGACTTCTTTTCAAGTCTCTGCATCACGTTTTCTATTATTCCATTTATCAAAATGAGTCACATAGCCAAGATCAGAGTCAGTATAGGAAGAAACTCTCCAAGTGCAAGCATATTGGGTGGGGGGAATTATTACAGCCATTTTTATAAATAATCTACTAAAGAAAGAATAAGTCAAATTTTTAAACCAAGACCTAATCTCTGAGCTAGAGTTCATAGAAGTGCTTGGTCCCCAATTGAAATCTCTTTACCTGACTTGATATCACCAAGGCATATAGGAAACGGTCAGAAGTTACCTATCTCAGAGACACCAAACCACTTAATAATGATGATGGAGCAGTTTCAATTTTTCAACATAGAATAGACTTTCACTATGTTCTTTAAGGAAATATTGTTTAAATTTTTATTTCCCTAAGGAGAGCCTGGGTTCAGACTTACAAACAAAGGAGAAAGAAAATAAGTTGGTAAGATCAGTTATTCTCCTTATTACTTAAGGAGAAAGATTTTCCAATGCAATAGTGAGAATGTTTAAGACTGTACACAAGGAAGAGGCATCCAGAGATTCTTTCCAATTGCAGAAATTTATAGTAAAGATGTGCAGAAGGTGGGTAGCCCGGAAAGTGTTCTCACCAGCCATCATGCCCCTGTGGGTCCTGGTCAGGACTGCCCCTAACATTTGTAGGGCCCAAAGCAAGAATCCATAAGGAGGTCCCCACATCAGCTATGCCAATATTAAATATTATAAATGAGCTAACAAATTTAAAAGTAAAATGAACTGCTTAATATTGCAACCTTGTGAAATTATTACAGGTACAGCCCTAATCTGGTAGTTTATCTGCCAGATTGGAACACAAAAGGATGCAAGAAAACGAACACCAAGTATTATATGGGAGCAACCCAGGAATGCAAGAATATGGCATTGCTTCTGAGAGGAAAGATTTTGACAAGCGAATTGGTTTATCTTTCTTCTGACCTTACAGCTCCTACAGTTCAAATCTTCCCATGATCTAAAGGAATGTCTATGTCCTTGCTGGCAGTGGCACCACCCACAAGCCTTCATAGCCTTGAAACTTGGGTGTGTCCCATTTAAAGGACATAGGAAAAGAGAGGTAGAGAATCATTTAACCTTAAGGCATGAAGTGTGTGTGCGTGTGTGTGTGTGTGTGTGTGTGTCACAAGAATGGATGTTGAGAGTTGCAGCTCATGATGAGCCAGCCCTAAGCACCACCTCTCAAGAGACAGAGAACTTTGTGTTCTCTGACAAATTTGTTTTATGTGTGCATCTGTGAATGAGGAGTCCTCAAAAGCATGGGATCTAGGGCAGAGTCCCCTCCTGCCTGGGTCTTAAAAAGTAGTGCCTCTCTTGGAGCTTTGAAAGCTGGGATGTGTTTAGCAAGTGATACCTGCCGTCTTACCACAAGGAGCAGTAATTTCAGAATGTGTACTACATGGTTTGTAGATGTCAGGGTTGCCATGAAAAACACTATTTACAAAGCACCAGATGGAACAATGCTTTACTCACATGGACAAAGGACAGAGCAAGAAGAGCTTCAACAGTGAGTACCAGTCCCTCACGACCAGCATGACCATCCTGCTGACATCTAGATACCAAGTTTCAACACAGCACCTACCCTCAAAGAGAAAATAGAGCCATTTGGTAACCTATTGATTATCTTGGACCCTTGCCATCCTGCAAGACAGAACAATCCACCCTTGGCAGAACTGTCACTCATTCCACATAGGGATTTTCTTTCTGTACCAGTAATGCTTTTGCAATTTTGTAATAAGAGCAATTGAGACAGGGAAACAAGGAACCCCATAAATGACTGCTTTTTTTGCTCCTTTTCCTGCTTCTGTTTTTGCTAGGATGTACACCCCCACCCTTTACACATGCCTTATAGTTCAAATAATATATGTTGTCCTTGTAAAGGTCAAGGAGTTAATGATTTTTTTGGAGTCTCTCCGCATGATAGATAACATCTAAGAATTGCTGGGAAAGGTCATCATGTGTGTTTTCCAAGACTCCAGATACCTTGACACCAAGACCCCTGGCTCCAAGGTATAAGGAGTTAAGGGAAAAAAAAAAGGAGTTAAGGACTTACGGGGATACCTGTGCACTCTTCCTTGTGTTTACCAATTCCTGAATGCCTGAGAGGACACATACACCAGACCACCCATACTGAGTAAAAACCCCAGACACCAAGATGAATGAGACTATTCATCTTTCCTTTCTGAATCTCCCAGACACTCTGTCTGTATCTGCTCTCTCTATGTCTTCAATAAACTCTGCTCTCACTTCCTCTTGGCTTGCATTTGGTTTCTATCCTATGCAAAGCCAAGGATGCTCTTGCTGATCCTGCAGGTCCTCTCTGGGTCCTCAGACCCAACCTGCCTTAGACATCCAAAGACTTATAGAATGCCTGATGAGATGGTATTTATACAACATTGTCTCAGGCCAAGGGAACCCATTTTGTAGCAAGTAATGTGAGTCAGTGGGCATAGAAGATCCACAGGCAGTAGCATATATTTAAACATGCAGAAGAAGCCAGACCAAGAGAATGGTGAGGAGTTAATAATTTTGCTAAGGAGATAACAAACTCAGAGTTGAGACTCTCCAGAATGCAGTATATCCACTGAACCAAAGGCCGATAGATGATGCTATGTCCCTAACACCTAGAACAGACAGAAACCAAGGGGTTGTTGTAGGATTAGCCCCTCTCTTCATGATTTCACAGTGATTGGTGGTTTATTTGTGGTTCCCACCCTGCAACATCAAGCTCTGCTGGATTAGATTGGATTCGGCTTCACAGGAACCCTGGGATAGATGGAGGCAGAGGAGATGCATTAGTACATGTAGATAGGATGGATTCCACTGATCCTGAAAGAACTAATACAACCATCTTGAAGGCTTTGTGACAGATTCAACATAATAAAGAGACAAACACATTGGAGGGAAGCACAGGGTGTACTGTATCACATACTACTTCATGTCCTTTTATCCCACTGCTTATCTCAGCCACTGTTCAGGCCTCACCATTCTTAGATTTAGATAAGCTTCCTGCAGGTGTCTTACCTCAGCCTGCATTCTAGAACTCTAGCTTCCTGACCAGGGGCTTCCCTGATCTTGAGGTGTGGAGCCTCTGCAAGAACATAACACACAATGCAAGAGCTAACAAGGACTGTGAGGAAACATCTGTGATCCACTGGTGGCTGATAAAGGGTGTCCCCATCATCTATTGCTGTGTCACAAACCACTCAAAGTTTAATGGTATAAAATGACAACTATTTTGTTCTACTCACAAATTCTATGGGTCAGAAATTCAGAGAGGGCAGAGCAGGGATGGATGGTTTGTCTCTGCTCCATGATGTCCAAGGCCTCAGCCGAGAAGACACAGAAGCAGGAAGGACTCAAATGGCTAGGGAATCCTAAAACAGTGCTATCCAATAGAAATACCATCTGAGTCACATACATAATCTTAAATTTTTTAGTTGCCATGTTAACAAAAAAAAAAAGCAAAAGGCAACAGATGAAATTAATATATTTTCTTTAACATAATATAGCCAAAATATTTTCATGTCAACATATAATCAACCTAAAAACTTATGCATCTATTTTACATGGGGAGGTGTGTACATAATTAACTCTTTAAAACCTGGTACATAGTTTATACTTTCAGAACATCTCAATTTGGAGTAGCCTCATTTAAAGTGCTCAGTAGCCACATGTGGCTAGTAACTATTACATTGAACAGTGTAGATCTGGAGGCATTTTCATGCCTATGTCTGGCACCTAGGCCGGGATGACTGAGGGCTATGCTCATTTGGGGTTATCTATCAGAATGCTGCCTGTGGTTTGGTCTTCCTCAAAGCACAGGTGCCTCAAACTAGTCAGTCTTCTTACCTGGTGACTCACAACTCCAAGAGTGAGTGTTCCAGTGACCAGGGTTGAAGTTCATGGCTCTTTACAACCTAGTCTCAGAGGTCACATGGCATATGCTATTGATTGAACCAGCCACAACCCCCTCTCCATTTCAAGGGCAGAGAACAGAGACCCCCCACACACACACACCCTGGGTGAGAGGAGTGTGTAAAAATCTGTTGCCATATTTTAAAAGTCCCCCGGGAATAAAAGCCAGGAGATAAATGCTTCCCGTCTCCTCCCTCAGGCAAAATATTCTGAGATACATTCATAAGGCTCTTCAAAAAAACTCCCAGCGGGGAGGAGCTGAGGAATAATGAGATTCTAGATATGTTTTTGCAAGTAGAGACAACAGTATTTATTAATGGATTGGATGTGGGGTGTGAAACAAAGAGAAGAGTGAGGAATCAGAAGTCTGTGTAAGGAATCACATGGCTGGTTTACAGGCTATCCCTGCATTTGAAGGTGCTTAGCTCTGGAGGAAAACACTCTGACTTAGAGAATGAAATTAACCTCCTAGAGGAAGGGTTCTTCATGAAACTCTCTCTCTCTCTCTCTCTCTCTCTCTCTGCCTATATCCATTGGGCAGTTGGGAAAGCATGAAGTCTCCTTTGCCCTCTACTTCCTGTTGCATTCCCAGCCTTGTTCCCTTTTTCAGAAATAGCATGTTGTCTATTGTATAGCCAAAGGACAGCATTCTGAACCTCTGTCCTGTAACTTCCTGATCCTCCTCTCTTATAAATACAAGGGCAGAACTGGGATGCCAGAGAGTCAGCGAGCTGAGAGCCAGGACTCCTCAGACCAGCTCTGCCTTCTACGGGGAAGATGAAGATCTTCATAGCTGCCCTCTCCTTCTTCCTTCTTGCTACTGCCCTTGGGTCCCAGATCCAGGACCTTCATGGTAAGTTCAGCAAGCCTTCCCACTGGTGACAAGGTCCATGGTAACTCTGGAGAGGAGATGCAGAAGGACACCTTTGTCCTCCTGAGATTGTTCCCTGTCCCAGACATGAATGTGAATTTGGCACTTGTTTGAAAAGAAGCAGTAATAGGATATAGACCTCTCTCTACAGGCTTTGGTCCCTGGGGAAAACTGTGTACAAATGACTGGTCCTCCCTGGGGAAGTAACTCTCTCCCTTTTCATGACCAGAATTATTTGACCAACCTTCCTGCAGCTGACATAGAACTGTTAAGTGCTAAATCAGAAGAACTATAGTAAAATTGTAAACTTGCAGAAAGAAGCATAGAATTTTACAATTTTGGTATAAAATTATCACTTTAGAGAGGAAATGGGATAAGCCAGGAAAGTGCCTCACCCAAGTCCATTTAACTGTTCTATTTATTTAACAGATAGGGATCCCTGGGTTGCGCAGCGGTTTGGCGCCTGCCTTTGGCCCAGGGCGCGATCCTGGAGACCCGGGATCGAATCCCACATCGGGCTCCCTGCAGGGCGCCTGCTTCTCCCTCTGCCTATGTCTTTGCCTCTCTCTCTCTCTGTATGACTATCATAAATAAATTAAAAAAATAAAAAAATATTTAACAGATAAATACCTAGTATTTCCTATGGCCAAACAGGCACTGTTCTAAGTGTTGTATGGACTTAATACATTAGATCCTCCCAACAACCCTGTGGGGTAGACTATCAACAACTTGTATAGTTCTGCATGTTATATTATTATTCTCATTTTATAAATGAGTAAGCCTTAGACAACTTGCTTGAGATTATACAGCTATTAAGTGGTGGAATGAGGGTTCGAGATGGTTAGGAAGCTGCTATGGAAAGGCAAGACCACTTAAGATTTTATTTTGCAAGCCTTGCACACAACATAGCAAGCATATCAAGTATACACACATGCCTCCTTAAATAGAATTCATGTGTAACTATATAATAAATGAGCTAAAAGTTGTGTTTTACTAATTAGCATAATGCAGTTCCACACTCCCTTATCCAAAAATTTGGGGCTGGATATGTTTTGGAATGCAGAAGCATTCAGGTTTTTTTTAAAGGTAATATAATATGATCCAGCAGTCCCACTGAGGATATATACCCAAAAGAAGGGAAAGCAGATAGATACATAAAGAGATATGTGTATACCCATGATAATCACAGCATTATTCATAATAGCCAAAAGGTGAGAACAACCCAAGTGTCCATCAACAAATGAATAGGTTACTTTAAAAATATTTTCAAAGACTTTATTTGTCAGATAGAGGGAGAGAGAGCACAAGCCAGGGGAGCAGCAGGCAGAGGGAAAAGCCGACTCCCCACTGAGCAAGGAGCCCAATGCAGGCCTCGATCCCAGGACCCCAGGATCATGACCTGAGCTGAAGGCAGACACTTAACCAACTGAGCACCCAGGTGCCCCAAAAGATTTTTTTTTATTTATTTATGATAGTCACAGAGAGAGAGAGAGAGAGAGAGAGAGGCAGAGACATAGGCAGAGGGAGAAGCAGGCTCCATGCACCGGGAGCCTGACGTGGGATTCGATCCAGGGTCTCCAGGATCGCGCCCTGGGCCAAAGGCAGGCGCCAAACCGCTGCGCCACCCAGGGATCCCCCCAAAAGATTTTTTAAGTGGGATATATACATATATTGTTCAGCCTTAAAAAGGAAGGAATTCTGACATATGCTATGAAAATGATGAATGTTGAAGACTTTATATTAGTTGAGAGAAACAGTAGAAAAGGACAAATACTGAATATGAAGCACTTAAAGTAATCAAATTCAGTGACAGAAAGAAGAATGGTGGTGGCGCAGGGGTTGGGGGAGGGAAAAATGGGAGTTATTGCTTAATGCGTACAGAGTTTCAGTTTTGCAAGATGAAAAACGTTCTGTGGATGGATTGTGGTGGTGGTTGCGCAATATGTGAACACGCTTAATGCTACTGAACTGTACACTTTTAAAAATGCTTAAAATTGTGATTGTTGTGTATATTTTACCTTTTCAATAAAATAAATGACATTTTTTAAAAGATAACACATACCTGCTATTGCTGGCAGAGTCTAAGAAGTGTACTTCAATCATACATTTGTGTTTGCTGCAGTAGTATTCCTGCAGTAAACACAAATAATCATACTCCTGGGATAAATAAAGATTGTGAAGAGCCTCATTTCACTTTGGGTGACATTGTACCACCAAATCAGTTAACGAAAAATTCTTCTGTTTCCTGAGTCCTGTGGATTCCAGAAATGTATAGGAAGTACTGTAGGATGTATCACATTATGTATCTATTCAACTGATTTATTCATATCAGATTTATAGTTCGCTTTTTGTATTTCAAACCCAATAGGATGGTTTCATATCTCAAACAGTTTCAAGAGTTCCCTGAAACATCTCAGGGCCCTAAGAGAGAAAACAGGCCTGGAGGCAGACCTAGAACCCAGACAGGTGTCCAATGGTCCAGCATCATCATCTCCCTAGCAGGGAACGGGACTGAGGCATGAGACTGGTAGAGACACTGAGTCAATGCTGCCTCAGTGATTTCTCTCCCCTCGTCTGTTTCTCCCAAATAGAATCCATGGTGGCGAAACAACAGCGTGAACCCTTAATACAGCTGGAAGGTAAACGTATATGCTATATTATAGACTATGTTTAAAAGCAGCAGCTGCACAGATCTGCTGAAAGGCTTCAAACACCTCATTTATAGGGCAGGGGTAGGGGGAAGGTGGAGAGGGTCCTGAAGGTGGTAAATGTCCCAAAGGAGATCGGGATGGGCTGTTAGAGGGGACCTCTATTCCACCCAGCTGTCTCTAGAGTTGGCACACTGGGGACAGAGGTGCTCACTGATGCCTCCTGCAGGCATCAGATGCTTCCTCTTCTATCAGAAACAGTCATAGTCCTGTTATGGCCTTGCCGGGGTGTCCTCAGACATAGAGCTCGCCCTCCCCAGGACTTTGGAGGAAAAGGATCTAGTCTTCCTTCCCAGTCCTGAAATGGCTCTTTCCCCCGCAGCAGGCTTTCACCGTCCCGCTGACTGCTGCCCCAATCTCTCCCCACGAAAAATCCGATGTGAAAACATGCAAGATTTTTTCAAAACAAGCAGTGGGTGCTCCCGGCCAGGTATCATGTAAGTGCCAAGCTCACCAGCCATGGTCTTGGGAGGGAAGACCTGATGGACGGATGTTCAGAAAAGTCCTACCCTCTGGATCCTGCCAGGTCATGGGAGGCTTGTGTCCTTCGTAGGATCCTGCAGGGCATCAGATAGGAGATGCTCCCAGTGAAAAGGGAAGTGGGGAAGAGATGAAGAGAGCAGAAGAAAGGCTGCCCAAGGAAATGCCCATCAGTGGCTGAGGCAGGGTCTCAGAGAAGAAGTGCCCTAAGCCCCTGCAGCAGAGACAAAAAAGAACAGTCTGGTCCAAGTGAGAGATCCCAGGGCTAGGGAGGATGGGGCTTTCCATCCCCATTTGCTGAACGCTCATTTGTAATCTTACTCTGTCTTGCTCCCCAGCTTCCGTACCAAGAAGGGGCGGCTTGTCTGTGCTAACCCCTATGATTTGGAAGTTCAGAACTGCATGAGGTCCCTGCTGATGTCAGGAAAAGAAGCCTTGCTTGAAGAGAGGAGATACTAGGTGTCAGTCACCCCACCTCCACTTCTCTTGTCTCAACTACCTCCTGAGATTTTCTTGGCCTGAATTATCTTTCATCCAAGTACTAACCGGGCCCGACCCTGCTTAGCTTCCGAGATCAGACGAGATCGGGCACATTCAGGGTGATATGGCCGTAGACCTGAATTATCTTTCAAAAAGTAACAATTACTGTTCTTTCTGTTCTGGTTATAAAAGCAATGCATTAATAAAGAGTATCTGATATAACTTTCCTTAAACTTTAAGAGGAAAAAGACACTATACGTATTGCTGAAATTTGGATTCTGTGGGGTTTTTTTCTAAATGAAACTGAATTTTTTAAAAGCTAAAAACATTCAAACTCATTCAAACATAGACTGAAATGTACTTAACCCATTTAACAAGGGAACCATAAAACTGAATCAAAGATCACCTGAGGAACAGAGATTTACATAGTTAATTGAGGATGGCATTCTGAAATGTTAAGTAAGAGAAAAATAGATTAGTATCCTATAGGAAATAAAACTGTAATTCTGGGGATTATCTTTTTTTTTTTCTTATTTTGTTCTTATTTTTTTCTCTTTTTTTTTGGTGGGAAGGGCAGAAGGAGAGGGAGAGAATCTTAAGCAGACTTCAGGCCCAGTACAGAGCCTAACATGAGGCTGTTTCATGACCCTGAGATCCTGACCTGAGTTGAAATCAATAGTCAAACGCTTGATCAACTGAGCCACACTGGGGCCCTGAGGATTATCTTTTTTACTGGACAAAAGTCATTTATATCTATGTCAGATAAAAATTTGCAAGTTAACATAATTTCACAAAGTCAGGGGCCCCTCAGTAGTAAGTAGAACACCACTGAAGAGGACATTCCCAGGAACCCTGGGGTGGGCATTTTGGACAATCTTCCAAATAATACCAGAGGATCTCCCTGTAATCATCCTTCTGCCTTATTTCTACATTTTGGATGTTTTCTCTCAACAGATATAACTTCCTCTTATGAAAGTTAAAGGGTTTTAAGAAAAACATTTAAAGTTGGACTGAATATGGGTGGTGAGATTGAGCCCTGCATGCGGCTCCATGCTCAGCGGGGAGTGTGCTTAAGTTTCTCCCTCTCCTCCTCCCCTTCCCCTACTGAGTATGTCCATGTGCTCTCTTTCTTTCATTCTCTCTCTCTCAAATAAATAAATATTTAAAATAAAGTTGGAGTGATTATCAATTTTACATTCATATCTATTCAAGCATATACATTTGCATTTATAATTAGTAAATTGTAGTCAACTGTCTCAAAATTCTTAAGAAAGTACTGAATTCTAAACAAAATATTTCTTAATTCAAAAAAGTTCAGGGATGCCTGGGTGGCTCAGTGGTTAAGCATCTGCCTTCTGCTCAGGGCATGATCCTGGAGTCCCGGGATCAAGCCCACACTGGGCTCCCCTGCAGAAGCCTGCTTCTCCCTCTGCCTACATCTCTACCTCTGTGTGTGTGTCTCTCTCTCATGAATATATAAAATCTTTTTTTAAAAAAAGTTTAAAACCTATGCTTACTTTTGGGGTAATTTGCCATAAGGAGTTATAGGGGGAAAACTGATTGGTAACCAAATATCCTTCATACTAATAAACACTAGTAGAAGAAACCTAAGACAATGATTAAAGCAGGGAATCATTATAACTCTAAAGGGATTAAATATACATTCACACTATGTCTCGTTCTCTCTACTAAAACTAATCTTTGGAGGTTTGCAGTATAGAAAAGATTCTTTCACTCCATCATTTGGGACTGGGTAGGGCATAAATGTACACAGTTTAGTCAAGCACTCCAGGTGATTCTTATGCAAGTGGTCTTAGGAAGGACCTCACTTAGAGATAACCATTTTAGGAGGGCAGGTAAAAAAGGTAGGCAGGCTAACTGATGGACCTGTACCTTGGTAAATTTCACTCCTTTTGAGGTGCCTCTCTTTTTTCTCAGCAGAAGTGGATATCCCTAGTTCCCTGGTTATGAACACAGATTCTGATGATAGGGGCCCTGGTTCTAGTGAGTGAGGAGGAAGAAGGGGTGAGACTAGTCAGGCTTTCACTGAAATTGTCAGAAAACTTTGTTTCTAGGGTGTGGAGGTGGGACTTCTTTCTTGTCTTTGACCAGAAGTTGTCCTGGGCACTGCCCAGCCCTCTCTTGAGTCCATCATCCCCTGTGGAGGACTCCCACACCAAATATCCTTCTTTACTTAGAGAACTGTGCTTGTTGCTTTATCCTGGGGCAAACCCCATAATCACCTTCCCTGAAATGGGGACAGACAAGGTCATAGCTTCTTTTCTCAACACCACTGACTCTGATCTTTGTGTGCTACTGAGAAAATATTTTTTCAATGATCTCCTTCATCTACATGAGGAAACAGGTTTTTCAGCCTCCTTATTTTGCCATCAAGCTGACCCATGTCCTGTACACAGAACGGAAATTTCTCATCTTATGGTCAGCTGACGCCATCTTTTCTGATTCCCTCTGATACTACAAATTTATTTTTGTTTTCATATTTTTCCTGTCATTTCCATGGAATTTGGGGAAGTGAAAGAGGCAAACACAGATGCTCAGGGTTCCGGCCTATATTTTGGCCCATTTATGATCTCTCCTGTTGCTCTCATCCACTTCACTATATTCTGTTGAATGCAGCAGCTCTGAGTTAACACCAGCCCACTGAGCCCTGGAATATACAACAGAGTGATGGCAAACACAACTTTTGACTTCTCCATAGAGGTTTTGTTTTAGAGCCTTGGTGAAAATCTCAAAAAGTTGTTGGGTTGAAACTGTGCTAGACCCAAGGGGAGTATGTGTGGTCTCATTGGTTTCTCTGGCTGGCCAAGTTGTTAGCTCAATAGAATGAAATGGAGAGCATAAACCACTGGAACAGGATGGACAGCAGAGGACCAGGTGTGTCCTCATCAAGGCTTTGGGTCATGACAATGGCAGCTGAGCAGAAATGGGGGATGCACACTGAGACGTTCCTTTCTGACCAAGCATCTGGTCACTCATAGAAGGCCTCTGAGGTCTTGGAGTGGACAATGGATTGTTATGTCTAGGTCAGTTACATAATACATACTCTATTTTCACAGTTCTTCAAAAACCGCATGTTCTTTTGCTTTCTCGTTTGTACTCTGTGGCACCTCTGCCACAAATTCCCCTCCTCTCAACTCTTCCCAGCAAAACTCAACCCAGCCCTCAAGGTTCAACTTAGATGCTCAATAATACCTTCCCCTGCTATCCCAGCCAGAGCACCCACCTCCCTTTCTCTGGAATCCTGAAACAGATATTTATTGTCACTCAAACAATTACTGAGTGGCTATTTTATGTTATATGTTGTGATAGTCGGTATATAGAGAAGATTGAAACTAAGAATAAAATATGATTTCTGTGTGTAAGAATCATATATATAATTCATCTCTAAATCTCCGAGTTATTATGCAACATTGGATTAAAATGATGAGGTTGTTTACATGAGGGGCAAACAGCCTGGGCCTCACACCACTCCAGGTCCCATGTGGGCTACCCAAAGGCTGAAGCTGACCCTTTGAACAACAGAGGGTTTGGGGCACTGACCTCTATGCAGTTGAAAATCCAAGTATAACTCTCCAAAAACTTAACTACCAATAGGCTACTATTGCCAAACCTCACTGATAACAGAGTCGATTCACACATTTTGTATGTTGTATGTATTACATACTGTATTCTTATAACAAAGTAAGCTAGAGAAAAGAAAATATTATTTTTAAAAATCATAAGGCAGGGGATCCCTGGGTGGCTCAGCGGTTTAGCGCCTGCCTTTGGACCAGGGCGTGATCCTGGAGTTCCGGAATCGAGTCCCACATCAAGCTCCCAGCATGGAGCCTGCTTATCCCTGTCTGTGTCTCTGCCTCTCTCTCTCTCTCTCTCATTAATAAATAAATAAAACCTTTTTTAAAAATCATAAGGCATAGAAATACACGTACAGTATTTACCATATTTATTGAAAAAAAATTCACATGTAAGTGGACCTGGACAGTTCAAGCCCATGTTGTTCAAAGGTCAACCATATATTGAAGCACACCAGTTAGGAAGCTATACTATAGATGTGAAAATTCAGCATGCACAAGAATCATTTGGAGGGCTTGTTAAAACACAGATTGCTGGATCCTATCCCCAGAAATTCTAATTCAGTAGGATTGAGTGGGGTCCCCTAAATCAGTGTTTCTAACAAGTTCCCAGGTAATGTCAATGCTACAAGTAGAATGGAAATTTGAAGAGGCACCCTCACTTTTGACTCCATAATTTCAGCATTGTCTGCAACTTTTATAAAAAGCACATGTTTCTTTCGTAACCAAAAAACAATTTCAATGAATTAAAAAAATAAATCTCTACGGTCTTCTCAAGAAAAACCAACAAAATGGGCCAGTTCTTGACTTGTGTTGATATTTTATTTTTTTGTGACGAAGTTTATCAGAGCTACTTTAACTATAAAAAAATATGTAATTGGGGAAAGTTTAAACATGGCTAAATAAGTCTGATAATCAATGTTCAATTTTTGAAAGCAAAAATCCTGGAGGGCACCTGTCTGGCTCAGTCAGTAGAGTGAACAACTCTTGATCTTGGGGTTGTAGGTTCAAGCCTCATGTCGGGTGTAGAGATCACTTTAAAACTTTTTTTAATTTAAAAAAATTTTTTAAGTAAAAACCTTAAGAGTTGTGCAAAATGGCTAGAAAATGGTGCTTAAAAGCTCTAAAACAAAACAGGGGTACTAGGTGTCTCAGTCCCAACTCTTGATTTCCACTTAGGTTATAATCTCAGGGTTCTGGGATTGAGTCTGCCTTAGGCTCTTAGCTTGGCAGGGAGTCTGCTTAAGATTCTCTCTCCCTCTCGCTCTGCCCCTCCCACTCCCATTCACGCATACACACACTCCCTCTAAAACAAATAAATAAATCTTTAAAAAATAAAACAGGGCACCTCGGGTGGCTCAGCAGTTCAGTGCCGCCTTCAGCCCAGGGCCTGATCCTGGAGACCCGGGATCAAGTCCCACATCAGGCTCCCTTCATGGAGCCTGCTTCTCCCTCTGCCTGTGTCTCTGCCTCTCTCTTTCTCTCTGTGAATCTCATGAATAAATAAATAAAATAGTTTTTAAAAAATAAAAAATAAAAAACGTATGGGGAATATAAAAAATAGTGAAAGGGAATAAAGAGGAAAGGAGAAAAAAATGAGTGGGAAATATCAGAGAGGGAGACAGAACATAAGAGACTCCTAACTCTGGGAAACGAACAGGGGTGGTGGAAAGGGAGGTGGGCGGGGGGTGGGGGTAACTGGGTGACAGGTACTGAGGGGGGCACTTGATGGGATGAGCACTGGGTGTTATGCTATATGTTGGCAAATTGAACTCCAATAAAAAAAAAAAACAGAAAAAAAAGTATGAGGGATGAGCAATGACTTCTGCAGACAAGCAGGAACTCAGAAAAATGTATGTCCTACACACTCCTTCTGTATTATTTGATTTTTAAAAATAAATATGAAAAAAATAAAAATAAATAAAAATAAAAATAAATATGTATGTGTTGTTTTGGAAAACATTTCTAATATTTTTTTCTTAAGATTTATTTATTTATTTATGATAGACAGAGAGAGAGAGAGAGGCAGAGACACAGGAGGAGGGAGAAGCAGGCTCCATGCCGGGAGGCCAATGCGGGACTCGATCCCAGGACTCCAGGATCACGCCCTGGGCCAAAGGCAGGCGCTAAACCGCTGAACCACCCAGGGATCCCCTCTAATATTTTTTATATAAACTTATTTTTTATTGGTGTTCAATTTGCCAACATATAGCATAACACCCAGTGTTCATCCCATCAGCGCTCCCCTCAGTCCCTGTCACCCAGTCACCCCCACCCCCCGCCCACCTCCCCTTCCACCCCCCTAGTTCGTTTCCCAGAGTTACAAGTTTCTCATGTTCTGTCTCCCTTTCTGATATTTCCCACTCATTTTTCTCCTTTCCCCTTTATTCCCTTTCACTATTTTTTATATTCCCCAAATGAATGAGAACATATAATGTTTGTCCTTCTCCGATTGACTTATTTCACTCAGCGTACTACCCTCCAGTTCCATCCACATCGAAGCAAATGGTGGGTATTTGTCGTTCCTAATAGCTGAGTAATACTCCATTGTATACATAGACCACATCTTCTTTATCCATTCATCTTTCAATGGACACCGAG